TTTAAAAGTGTGCTTATCATCTAAAACGGGATGATTTAAAAACAACACAACAACCCAACCCTGTTGTTTCCCATCTACATGATACCAATAATTGAGTAGATCTTTATTTCCAGACATACCAGCCATATTTGATAGCATTTCAGAAGCTTTTCACAGCACACCAGTTTTAACTGTGTTTCAGGTTTCCTGCCAGAGTAAAAAGGCAAAGTATACTTCAGGACTATTGCATTTCAGAATCTCCTCCAGTGGGTGAACGTGTGCAGATTATCAGTTAAAGGTCAAAGAAGGATTATTGGAAATGATGCCAATAACTGCTTTCACATGTAGATGGGTGTCTGTGTGTGACAGAGCAGGTTTCTTAGCCCTTTATCGTGTGCTGGGATGGTACTCTGAGTTCACAAATACACACAATAAATGATTAAACTAAACCTACATTCTTGCTGGTTAGAGACCCCGTTGTCAGGTTTCTCTTTTCTCTGTAAATGTTGCTTCATTTTTCAAAGCTTTCAGTATCCAGGGCAGAGGTTTGCTGATTGTGCAGGTTGTTTTTATCACCAGCCTGCCTGATGGTCCCATAACAGTGCACTCACACCTGGAAGTTTCGAGTCACAATCATTAATGATGTACTAGGATAAGAGCTGCTTTGAGGTTTTTGTCACTAAATCTATGTTTGGAAACCAAAGTTATGATACTATGGAAAAAAAATTCTAAATAATCTAATTATTTACTATACTTTAAAAAAAAACAATCATTTAAATGGACCACCATGGATATATATGAGGCATGTTACTGCATATGACACCAAGCAGCTCAAAGCAGCTGAATTCATTTACAGGCTCTGCTTTAATTTTTAAAAGTAAACGTTCTCACATTTTGGTGGGTGATAAAAAATTTTCCTGTTCAGTTTGGAACCTTTTTTTTTTTCATTGCCTGGCAAGTTTGGACTGCAGGCTGGCCAGTTTAGCAACTTGACTCTTTTAACACGCAGCAATGCTGGGGGAAAAAAGCATGTGAGTAGGAGTGCTTCCTGCATTCAAAATAGTTTTCATTTGAGGTGCTCTTTGGAAGTGATATCAAACTCCTATTCCAAAAAAAGTTGGAAATCTCTATTACAGCGCTCATAAATCCATGTTTTATTCACAATAGAACACAGAAAACCTATCAGATGCTTAAACAGACACATTTTATTTAAATATAATAATAATAAAACTATAAGCTGGGACTGAAAAAGAGTCTCTCAGAGAGGCAGAGTTTCTCAGAAGTAAAGATAAGCAGAGGTTCACCAAGAAGAGAGGTGACGATCAGTGAGCAGCAGTATGCGTTCATGCTGTGAAAGAGAACTGTAGATATGATTTTTGCTTTGGGAGTGTTGATGGAGTAGTACAGAGGAGAAGATAAAAAAAAACTGTGTTTTTGTGGATCTAGAGAATAGGATGGGCTTACAGATGAGGTCAGGCAGCATTCTCTGTGGACTATGATTTTTGCAGAAGGCATTGTGATCTGCAGAAGGTGGAACAGAGTCTGTAGAGGTGGAGGTATGCTCTGAAGAGAAGAGGAATGACAAACAGCATGTGTGTGACTGAGAGGGAGACAGACGGAAAGGTGATCGTGCAAAAAGAAGAAATAGTGAAGATATTAATTTATATACCAGGAACTGACCATCCAAAGTAACAAACAGTCCATAGGAGAGGGGAAGAGGAGAGTTACAGGATAGCAGTGAGACCTGCTATGATATATAATTTGAAGACAGTGGCACTGACAAAAAGACAGGAAACAGAGCTGGTACTGTTAAAGATACTATAGGCATCATGGACGAGAAGTCAGTGAGCCAGAATTGGGCGTTGAAGAAGGAGCTGCCAGGCAGGAGGTACAAAAGAGGAAGACCTCAGAGCAGGTTGATGGATGCAGTGAAGAAAGATATGCGGAGGGTTGGATCCACTGTGATCAAGCAGCCAAAGGAGAAGAAATATGTCATATTATAAAAGCTGAGATGATTCTGTTTTTAATATGATTTCTGTGTTTGATTGTGAATAAAATATGGGTTCATGAGATTGACACATCATTGCATTCTGTTTTTATTTATATTTTACCACGTGACTACACCTGCAGCTACAGCAGTCAATGAATAGAATGAACTGCTGCTGGCTCCAGAGGCCTGACACTCAACTTTTACTTTAGTCAATGATGGAGGACATCTTTTCAGTCCAGCCTGTCTGGATTGCCATCATTTAGAATGAAAATTCCAGTCTGCATTCAAGAGAACCACTTCATATTCAGATTCAGTTGAATGAATCATTTATAAAGCAGAATTGTTTGTTTTTTTCTCAAGTACCTCGCTCGGACAAGTTGTCACGATGTCTGCTCCAAAGTAAATCAAATTTTAGTGTAAAACTCTCACTGCCCGCGCTCTCAGTTAATTATACCCTGTTTTCATTTTTTCTGATCAGAACGTGAACGGGCCCTGATCCCTCGCTGTTGTTTTCTCTCTACTTCTTCTCACACAGCTCTGTTGCCTTGGCCTGCTGAGTGAGATCAAAGAACGGGCGCGGGGGGGGGGGGGGGGGGTCGTCATTTCAAGGGGGAGGTGCCAGGGCTTCCTGCGGGGGTTGCCTGTGTGAACGCTCCCTGAATGACAATGCTGCGCATCAGGGCCTCACTCCCTCAGCAGCGCGTACACACTCACACACACACTTGCAGGAGTACAGCCTGGAAAGGCTGTATGGCCATGCAGCAGCAGCAGTAACCGAGACATGCCAGAGTGCAGAAAGATAAAAAAAAAGTGTCCAGCCGTAACCTTCCGCTCCGTCTGTCCTCATCATGAATAAGTGATAGGCCAGCGTGTCATGTGTCTTCTGACCCACGGCGTTGTTTCCGTGATTTCGCAAAATCACAGTCAAGCTTGTCCACCAGCCCCAACCCCACCCGAGCATTTCTCCACCGCCACCCACCTCTTCCCGACACACACTCTCTCGCGCGCTGTTAGTAGCCGCCAGTCTGCGGGAAGCAGATGACGAGCAAATCCAGTCATGCAGACATTATGACGTTGAAAAGGCATCTTGGAAATACTAGCATAACTCGGAGCCTACAGCTGGTGGCGTGTACATACATTATATGACCTCAGGTTAAGACTGCAATCAAGCTAGAAGTAAAATAAATAACTTAATAATCTTTAGGGACTATGATAAAAACACATAAATTAGTTTTATGTGTAGCATTTTATTTATTCACGAGATTTATTTTTGTCTGATCCATACTTTCATGTGAACGGCCGAACAAGTCCACCGACTCGCTGCTCCTCTTTTTGCTTTATGTTTCGCAGTGTTTCCATTTGATTAGAACATGGCTGCATTAAACTGTAGCACCAATCATTTCTGCCTTTCTCGATAACATAATTGGCTAGTTTGTCTTACCTAATATCACCAGTCTGTGAAAATCTCCAACTCAAGCGAGAGTGCTGACACTCAGTTCTTTTCGTGCACTTTTCATATGATGACCAGTCCTGCATTTGCACACACGGGAGAAAATTAAACTCCACTGTGTTGCATTCCCTTCCCTGAAGTTTGGTGAGACTTTTTTGGCTTTCACCGTTTGCCTTCATAATCTTCCCCAAAATACACCATATGGCCCACTTTCAGTTCTGCGCGGACTGTTTTGTTGTTGTTGTTATTGTTGTTGTTGTTGTTGTTGTTGTTGTTGTTGTTGTTGTTTTGTTTGTTGTTTTGTTTGTTTTTAGAAGAGATTCAGACCTCCTAATGATGGGTGGTTACCAGCCAAAGAAGCTGTTAGAGGAGACAAACAACAAGCAGAACTTGCAAATAGTTCTCAGTATTTAACAGATGGCAGCAGGTACAGTAACTAACCCACCCTGAGCAGTAATCTCCTTCCAAAGGAGTTGGGCTGGAGTCTGGTGCTTTGTAGTGTTGTTTCAGCACTTTGGACAGCGCCAATAGGCCTTTGGAAGCTTGTCAGTGCCTATTTCAGGACCAAGGATAGCATCAAATTGCTTAAGTGACCAAACACCTTATTTTCTTTACAGACCTATAAATAAAAAATACCTTTAAAAATTACTTTGAATGGAATTCCTTCTTTTTCCTGCTCTGGAGAGGTGACAGCTTGGTTGGTTTAGCCCAAGCAAACAGATTGCTGAATCGTTTCAAAGACAACTCAGATGCCAGAGCCAGACTGACAGACGGCCTGGAGGAAGGGAGGATTGAAGGGAGATAAAAACTCTTTCAAATTGTCCTTAAAATAACTGTACGTTCACAAAAAGCAAACACTAAATTCCCAGCTCTCCCCCTGGCAATCAACATGAGAGGTATTATGCCCACAAAAAGCATAATCACGGTAGATTTTTTTGCTGTTGTTGTCCGCGGAAGTCCATTTGAGTTTAAATTTATTGTTAGACTTGGCTTAGTACAGGATTACATAATTGTTTGTACAGTTGGATGGGTGGGGTGGGGAGGGGGGTAAAAAGTAGTTGCATAAGAATTTTTTTGATAATGAAATAAATAATAATCATCCTTGTACATACTAAAAGACTCCTGCTTTTATTTGCTGGAAGGCTAGACTGAAATTGTCTGGAGATAAATTCCTTGTATGTGCCCCAAGCTCGTCTGTGCCCATGGCAAAACCTTGTGCTCAGCCGGGTGGGTTTGAGTAAACAGTGAACGAGGCGAATTGGACTGCGCCGTTGGTGCTTTTGACACTTGGCTACTGACAATGGAAGCCTTCCGCATGTGTAAATTCCAGTGATCCTAACACCGGTGGTTTCATGATTATCATGTGCTCGTGGGAAATCAGTCTTCCAGAAGTCTGTCTTTTGGCCTTCCTGATTTTATCTTCACACACTTAAAAGTTTTTCACTCACTGTGCTGAAAGTTAAGGCGAGAGATGCCGTACCTAAAAGTGTCGCCCGTACATCTCCGTCGTGCGCTATGGGGAGTGGGCTGGAGAGGGGGAGGCTCCGGGGAGGCGCCGTGCGTCGTGCGCTGCAAGGCTTGGCCTCCGATATGTGCGCGGCGCTCGGTTCCCGTTTGACTGATCAGATGCTCAGCGCGCGGCTAAACACCGACGGCTGACTAAACTCAGGAGAGCCACTGAAGCGCTCGGCTGGTCGTGTTTCTTCGTTTCCACGACTGTTCTCCACGGAAATACAGCCTCCGGACCCACTGCGCGTTGCCTCACGTCCCCCTTGGGGGTCGAGGGAGGAAAGAAGTAAAAAAAAAAAAAAAAAAAAAAGAACGATAGGGAGAGACTCCTAGAGAGAGAGAGAGAGAGAGAGAGAGAGAGAACAGACGCTGGGCTCTGGCTCTGCGGGGCTGGCCGCTTCTCTGTGGTTCGGGGAGGCTCGAGGGCGATGCTGCTGGGCGGGGATCTTACACAGTTTCTGCCCGGTGGCGGAGGAGAAGATGCGAACTGCAGCTACAGAACACCCGCAACGCCACCGTCGTGTTTTCAGACCAAGAATTGATGATGGTGATGATGCTGCCTCCCCCAGCGCTCTTTTTCTGCTCCTCCGGATCCCTTTCGCCCGGGATTCTTGTTCTCCCGACACTGGATTATAGATGATTGCTGTGGACACTATTTTTTTCTTTTAATTTACATCAACTCTTTTTATTTTCCGAAGCGAGGCGCAGGGAAAAGACATAAATTGGCGGGCTGAGGACCGGTGTATTTTAAAAGCGGTTTTTTATATATAATTGTTTTTTGTTTTTTATTTTTTGCCTCTCCAAGTGCGTGCAATCACGCCCAAAATCGGCGACCGACGCCTTGGCGGTGAGGAGGAGGGGGGGAGAAGAAGAAGACGGAGGAGGAGGGGGAGGAGGGATGCCGCACCGTCCATCACCAAATATCAACAAATGTCACCAGGCTCGGATTTTGGGGAAGCCCCCCTCGGCTGGCGTTTGCGTGTAACCCGAGCAGCAGTGTGGTGGCAGTGAGAGGCTGCAGCGGGACTTTCTGCCGCGACATATCAAACGTTGCAGATCTATGGAACAAAATTAAATGAATTATTAAAAATTTCATTCGTATCTATTTCTATTTTTATCACCGCCGGGAAAAAAGGAGGTGGAGGAGGACTTGGGAAGGGGGGAAGACAACTGCAGATCCTGTCAAGATGCACTAGGCTGGTGAGAGAGGGGGGGGGGAAAGACGCAGTCTCAAACTAGGATAGCCTACTTAGTGGAGATGATCGCAATATTTACTCAAACGCACAGCTATGCATCTTTATGGCATTATTCTAGGATGATCGGTGTTTTGTTTGCCCGATGAAAAAAAGCAAGAAGCCATTCGCTCTTGGTGAGGGTTTTAACCAAAAAAATAAATAAAAATAAACACACACAAACAAACAAACAAAAAACAACATCAACAAAAAACGGGAAAACGCCGATTGTGTGACAAGATTTTCCCTTTTTTCTCACAAATTTCTGGCCACCACTTAAAACCAATCAGGTTTTTTTTCTTTTTCTACAAGAGAACTGATTTTCCAGAAATTCCAGAAATACATCCCTCCGTTTCCATTCATATTCCAAACACACGATCACAGACACCGTGCGCTCTCCCTCTCCTCTTCACCCTCCCCTCTCCTCCTCCTCCTCCCCCTCCTCCCTCCCTCTCCAATCACAAATGGAGGTATCTTCTCGGCGCTGAAGATCTGGGAAGGAGACAGAGATAGAAGGAGAAAAGAGACTCGAGATAAGCCAGAGAAAGCCCATCTCCATTCTGCATGTGTGTTTGGAGCCGAGGCTGATGGGGTGGTGGCATGTGGAGGTGTCACTCTGAGGTTCCCCCCCAGCACCTTCCTAACCTCTGGCGTTTGGTGTCTGCAGAATGGCGCGTTTTGGAGACGAGCTACCCAACAGGTATGGAGGAGGAGGAGGAGGTGGTGGTGGCGGTGGTGGCGGGGGTGCCGGCGGACAAGGGGGCCCCGGCCGTGGCGGCAGCAGGCAAGGGGGGCCCCCCGGAGCGCAGCGGATGTACAAGCAGTCGATGGCCCAGAGAGCCCGGACCATGGCCCTGTACAACCCCATACCCGTCCGGCAGAGCTGCCTAACGGTCAACCGCTCCCTCTTCCTCTTCAGCGAAGACAACGTGGTGAGGAAGTACGCCAAAAAGATCACCGAATGGCCATATCCTTTCATAGCAATGCCAAGCAGACTGCCAAGGTATCGCCGCTGCTATGTTGTGTGGTGTGTTGGAATGATTGGCTAGGTGTGGCCTAGTGTGGTGTGGAGTGGATTGGTGCTGAACTAGCCAATGGAGGATGGATGCCAGAGCCGGTGTGGTGATTTGCAGTACGATGTACAGTGTGTGTGTGAGTGTAATATGTGATGGTTTCTGTTTTCTCTTTGCAGTACTGTGAAGTGTTACATGCTGTGTTGATCTCCAGTGTGTGCGGTGTGTGTTTTGCGGTACTTCACGGAACACATGATTCCATCTCGTTCTCTCTTTTCGTTTTCGCTGCTGTTTCCTAACCTGCTGGCCGCAGGCTTATCTGAGTCCACTGATGGAATGAAAGATGATCTTGATGATGATGGCGGTTGTCATGACACCCGCAGTCGCAATCATGTTGATGCTGCTGCTGATTAAGGTGCATCTTGAATAGAGCATTTAGCTCAAACCTGTTACTGAACTCGTGTGTGTGTGTGTGTGTGTGTGTGTGTGTGTGTGTGTGTGTGTGTGTGTGTGTGTGTGTGTGTGTGTGTGTGTGTGTGTTTTCGGTCGTTGTAGTCAGAGCTGAGTGCTGATGTCAGCATTTTGAAGGCTTAAGCACCATGCAACCAGAAGGGAGAGGAAATGACTCTCTCCTACTCTCCCTCTCTAATTACTATTGACCATATATGGGTGGCCTATGGCTCATCCAACAGGACAGCAAAGGAAAAAGCTGTAATTGTCAGGACAGGTCGGTCTGCTACTGATGGAACACTCTCATGTAGCCCACTATTATATCTTGTGTATAAAAAAAGAAAGAAGATGAAACATACAGTACAAGTTTGAGACTTTAGGTAACTGACAGGAAATGAGTGGACTGAGTCTTTTTGAAGTGGACCAGCTATGCTTTTTCTTATTTTTTTTACATATATTTTTCCTATAGGAGTAAAGATATCAGCACTAGCAGCATGTCCAGAGTGCGTAGCGCATGTTAGTTGGAAAAGCGGTTCAGAAAGTGGATGGATGGATGCTGTAATAACGGTGGATAGTTTCAGGCAATGTGATCGGCACATGTGCAAGTATTCTCGATGAGCCGAAACCTCAAGTTTCGGACGGTCTTTGCACTCTTGGCCCTTTTTGATGTCAGAGAGAGCAGAGCATCTCTAATCTAGCACCTCTGGCTGTTAAATAAGCCCCGCCCACCTGCTGTTCACATCTTAGTGTTGCAAGAGCCAAATGACCAGAGCAAAATAAATAAATAAATCAGCTGTGAGGGGAGTGGGAAACTGAGCTAAAAGCGCTTGTTTCAGACAGAGCTGAACTGAGGGGCTGCAGGAAGGCCTAGTATAACATAAATAACGACTATTTTTAAACTGTGACTCATGCAGAGCTACTCATGTCAAAGAATAACAATTAGCAAAATGGAGCTCCTTTAAATCGAAACTGATATAGCATCAGTGACGTCACGATACAGCATTTTCAGCAGCTGCAAAGATTTTAAAGACAGAAAATAGAAACACGCATCCAGGCTGACTCACTGTACTATTTTCTTTCTGACCTGGAGAGGCTTATTTTTCTTATTCATTAGTCCACCACTTGTTTTCTTAATAAAACAATAAATTATTTAAAAACAATGTTAGCTAATATTGGGGGGTTGGGGGGGGGCTCTTTGCATGCTTGAATTGCTCATAGTACGATTTCCTAGTTTTGAGTATGTTGTTACTTAGACCACCTGCCTAAATTCCATATTCAAATCATAAAATCGTAGAATACATTTAACAGTACATATAAAAACGTCTTGGAGATCAGCTGTTTAATTAAACTGCCAAGGCTTTTGCCTTTATTTGATAAAGCACTGCGGGAGTGAATAGGACATTCAACAAAGATCCCAAATTGTATTAGAATCAGTGATTTAGTAATTATATGGGATGAAGACCACTAATCCATACAGATGCATAAGTTATGGCTCAAACCTGTCCAGTAGTCCTGCACTGAAACAGCCTAGACACAGGGTTCATTTGAACAAATCTTTTTTTCAACTCCTCTGTTGTTTCTCACTTTGCTGTTAGTCACTTTTAGTTGGAGGCAAGATCTGCAAATCTGCCATTCACCAGTTTTTGAAGTGGTATAGTTGGAGTTTTGGCGTAGTTGCTTCACTCCAAGTGTAAAATGCAGTTTAGACAGAAGGCACAGGAATGTTTTAGAAGCTTTAATGTAACATTTTAATAACATTTGTTATGCTTTAATGCAGAATTAATTTTTTTTTCACTATGTTAACATTTTGGAGACCAGATAAAATGGTTGGTTGGTTGATTCAGTGGTTCTGAAACCTCTCCTGCAGAGTTCTCATTCAGAAATGAGATTATTTTCAATCCTCTGATCCCAGCTTCCATAGACTCACTTTTAGGCACATCCTTTCCTTACTAAAACTTGTTGTGAAAGATGGGAAGTCTCCAAGATGTTTGTTTTTTTAACTTATTTGCTTTCTCACAGTCAGTTGTTAAAATTTTGAGTAGAATTCAACCTATATAGGAATTTTAAGACTTATACCAATATTTGGTGGTTTTAAAAGCCAATATTCTGAAATATTGTCTGCTATTTTTTTCTTTCAGACACATGAATCATAACCAGATTTCCCTAACATTCGTTATACGTACTTATTTATGTTCCCGTTTACACTCTGTTGCTGTTTATGATGTTCCAAAATCATGTTGCCACCAGGGATGTTGCAGAGAAACTATATATGCAACATCAACACCCGGCACATAGCTAAAAGTAACATAAGCCTATCAATACGTCAGTCAGGCTCTGATTTTAAGGAACACGCTGAATTTTGATCTGTCCTGTTTGTGGTTTCTTTTTTTTTTTGTAATTGTTTTTTGTGGTCACTACCTTTACCTGGCATTTCTTTTCCAAACTTGTCCATGCCTTAGTAGTGATGCAGAACCATGATTCATTTGTATTCAGCCCACAAGTTCGGGAACCACTTTGCAAATTAATCCATGAAAAAAAAAACATTAGTTTCAGCCCCTGTAATGAATAAGCCTTACCATAACAGCATAAAGTTCCCTCCTAGTTTGTATTAAATGCTTTGATGGAAAGACGGTTTGCGTGGAGAAATGACATCAAGTGTCAAATTTAGTCAAAGAGGCTGGCTGATGGTGGGAAAGGGTGACTTACCCCAAACACATCACCTACCTTGCCCCTAACACCACAGGTCTTTTATGGTGAGCTTAGAGTATGACATCACTCATGGGAATTCTTGCAAATAGTTTTTAGTGTTGTTTTTAATAGGTTTTGCAGTACTTTTTACAGCATGATTGTAACTGTTAGAGGGGAATGAGTGTTTCAGCTCATTTAAAAGAAATAAAGAAAGGAAATAGTAATTTTCATACTAACTGAGAGGATACAGAGTAACTACTCTCACAGGGCTTTACTCGCTCAGCTAGTCTATTTTTAGTAGGTAAATGATGTGAGAGCCAGGTCACATGAGAATGTGCCTGTATGAGAGAAACAATTCATTTGTGGTAGTGATGCCTGTGGTGTGTGTGTTATCTGTGTGTGTCTGTCTGTGCGCAAGTTTTATTATCGTGCTTTTATGTTTTCAAAAAAGTCTGATCACTAATATTCTGCAACAGAAATGGTGAAAGAGCTGTTTGGTTTTTTTTATTAGAGTCTAAAATTAGCCAAGTTAGAATCTGTTAAAAAAAGAATCTGATGAGATGATGAGCAGTAACACTCCCTTCACCTGTTAGCAGTTTAAATGTTGTGTACATTTCCTATAATCTGGTCTCACACTAAGCAATTAGCGAAAATAAAATGACATATAAGATACCGAGTGGAGAGCGGTGCGTGTTCAGAGGGTGAGGGGGGATTTATTAGACGAGAGAGGAAATGCTGTGTTTTGGCAGAGTGCCTTCATAAAAGTTCTTCATATTTCTGCCAAAATGTTTTGGCTGTTCTGCTGGAATGAAAACATTTTATTTATTTATTTTTAGGAAATCCATCATCCTACAAAAATAGCTGAGTTTGCTCTCACTTTACAGCCTTTGTTTCACCTAATGTGTCCTGGTTTCAAGTGGAAAATGTTTTTACCATTAAATAAGGCATTTTTAATGGTGTTACTGTGAGACGAACACGGGAATCATGTCCAGGATAATGGCAATAAAGTTTCATTGTATATCCAAAATTATTAAAACCTTTTAAAATGTAAATTTTAAAAAAGGGGGAACAAATGATAAGCAAAGGATTAAAAATACAGCTTTTAGAAATAACAGTTAATGTCCAGGCACCATGAATGGGGGCAGTACCACAGGACTCAGGACTCTTCTTCTTTCTTTCACACACACGAATCATAACCGGATTTCTCTAACATTTGTAGGAACAATCAGACTACATTGGTTTCACCACAAGAATCAGCACAATAGATATGTTAGTTTTTAAAATATAACCATAATTAAAATCATACCATTAAAAAAACATATGTCTTTCTTTAGCATGAACAATTGTGAGGCTATTTCACTGATTGAATTTATTTTAAGTTGTAATAGCTAAAGTCACCTGAATCATTGGTAGATTGTTTGTTAGATATAGGGATTCAATACATTTCTAACTACATAGGAGGTGTCTGTATGCTCTTAGCTTTTGTTCCAGTTTTGGTATATAAACATATACTTTACTTTGTAAAGTAACTCTGTCTTTCACAGTTCCTCTCCAGTCAACTGTAACCTTGTTTTCCAACTAAATGTAAGATTTTTATTCCTCAAAGATGTTATATGGATGCTGTGATGGAGGTGTAGTGTTACATGCAAAAGGACTATAATTCAAGCAATTGAGGTTTTCAGTAATGAATCCCACATGAGTGGGTTTAGTTTTATAAAGAATGTTAAATATCAGGGTTAGGGGTATGTAATCTCAATGTAATTTTTGAATTTTTTTGGTAACTCAGCAAAGATGTAGTTGCGATTCAAAGCTTTGC